ATAACAAATTATGGCTAACATTGAGAAGAATGGGAATATCAGAACACTTGATTATGCTCATGAAAAACCTATACCTCTACCAAGAGGCTATGTGTGAACAGAACAAAGGAATACTACATTTTTCCCCAAAATAAAGGTATGCATCAGGGTTGTATCACTTCTCCACACCAATCTGTGTGCTGAGCAGATTATCTGAGAAGCTGGACTCTTTGAATTTGATTGTGGCATCAGGACTGGAGGAAAATTCATTCATTCATAACCTTCATTATACAGCTGACACTGAAAATGAGGAGAACTTGAAGCACTTGCTGCAGAAAATCAAACACTGCAGCCTTCAATATAGATTGCATCTCGACCTCAGGAAAACAAAAATTATCACCACTAGACTGATAGGTAACATCATGATAGATAGAGTAGATATAAACTGTTAACACCTTCAGCTTACCCAAGTCCTTGATACCAACAGTCACAAGATCAGGGGATGTATTGCACTGGAAAAGTCTGCAGTCATGTACCTCTCAAAATTTTGAGGACTAATGATGTCAGTTTGAGTATGGTCTTTTCAATCACTTGCTATGCACCTGAGAGCTGAACAGTGACAAAGGATGACAGAAGAAGAATCTATGTCTTTTAATTGTGGTGTTGGAGAAGAATGTTGGCTATCCCATGGGCTGTCAAAAGAGCAAATAAATATGTCTTGGAAAGGGTGCAACCAGAATGCCCCATGGAAGCACAGATGGCAAAGCTTTGTCTCACATACTTCAGCATGCTGATAGGAGACGTTATTCTTTGGAGAAGGACATCATGTCATGCTAGGAAAGTTGGAGGGACAATGAAAAAGAGGAAGTCCCTCAACCAGGTGAATTGACACAGTGACTACAGCAACTGGCCTGAGTGGGTCAGAGATTGTGAGGATGGCACAGGATAGGACAGGGTTCAGATTGGTTGTTCATAGGGTTACTTACAAATCATGCTGACTCAATGGCAATTAACAACAGCAAAAGGAATGATCATATAAAAGAGTGATCTTTGTTCCCCCCTTGTGTACCATCAAGTCGGATCCAACTGGAACAGGAGGAGATTGCCCCTTCTTCTCCAGCAGAGCATCTGGCAGATTAAAAGAGTCATTTTATGTTTTGAACATAAAATCTAGTTTGAATAAACCATTTTTAGGAATTGTCCAGTTTGCATAGATAGTTTCTAGGGATCATCCATTTCCCAATTGTTTGAGTCATTCCAGGCAGTAATGTAGAGATTGATAGTTATTCATCCAAACTCTTTCCTCTTCTTTCTTGGCACATATCTAAACTTAGTTTCTAGTCTCCTTTCCAATCAGATGATACCATATGCCTAAGTTTCAGCCAGTAAAATGTAACCAAAAGTAATATATATCACTTCCAGCATTAACCACAGAATTCTTCCATCGATGACCCCATGTACACTCTTAATCATTGGATAGGCACTAACATCAAGAGAAACTTTGCAAGCCATTCATTGAAGCTGTCAAAGCAAGAAAATGGAAGGAGTTTGTGTTTCTGAAATGCCACTTGAAATATCTGTTCATTAGGAATACTTACTTCCCAATTAACATGATTGAGAAATGAGTTTACATGATGATAAAGTGCTGAAGGGAGCCCTGGTGTCCTAGTTCGTAGGGAGTTTCAGTGGTAATGCAAAGAGTGTATCTCTCTGGTAGTTCAAATCCACCAGTCATTCTGCAGGAGAAACATAGGAAATCTCCAGTGAGGGTCAGGTATGAGTAAGTTCTAATTAGATGGCAATAAGTTTGGCTTAAGAAAGCACAGAAATTTTGAGGTAGCATCAAACAAAGCCTTCAAAAACATAAATAGGAAATAAAAGTGATTGACAGACTCTTTAAAGTCCAAACTTTATACACACATCATTTTTTAAGATAATATTATGCTCACTGATTAAACAAGCTTGGGAGCAGAAGTGGCATCCGCTTTCAAAATAGCTTGCCTCTGGAAACCGTATGGACTTGGAGAAAGGATGAAAATTATACAAGTGTTCAGGTCTTTCATTCATAGAGCCACTATGAGTAATCTACAACTCGATGACATTTAACAACAACAACAACAACGATATTATGGTATGTAAAAATTATTGCCATCTCTGTGGAAGCAAGACTGAGTTTTTTAGGTATTGATAGATCATATCCTTTCTTTTTAGTCAGTATTGCTAATAGATTTAAGGAAGTCAAGAAGTTAAAGCTAGCATATCCTCACTCAAAGCTAGAATATGATGGGGAAAATCTGTTTTTTGAGAACATCGTCTGTGAAGATAAATCAAGCTTTACATATTTCCTCTAGAGAATCCTGGTTTAGGTTAAATGGCTAGTTCTAATGATTTGGAACTTTATTATCAGCTGCTCATCCCTACTCCTCTCCCAGCCCCCTATATTTTGCCGCCTATCTGTCAAAATGGACCATTTAGCAGTTGGTGGTGGTATTGTTCAGTATGGTTGGGTTGAGTATGACTCATAGCAACCCCATGGACAACAGAGCTCAACCTGCCTTATCAAGTGCCATTCTCACAATCTCTGGCACACCAGAGCCCATTGTAGCAGTCACTGTGTCAATCCATCTGGTTGGGGGTCTTTTTCTCTTTCACCAACCATCCACCTTCCCAAGGATGATGTCCTTTTCCAAGGAATAGCCTCTCCTCCTAGCAACATTCCCAAAGTATGTGAGATGAAGTTTTATCATCTTTGCCTCCAAAGAGTAGTACTCTGGCTGCAATTTCTCTAAAACATATTAGTTTGAGAGTCCATAGGATCTTCAGCACTCTTCTCAAAGCCTTTATATAAACAAAATGGGCTTCAAATAAGAACCTATCTTTTAGATAAAAACAAAAAATTGTAAAGGGGCTTCAACACTGGTCTTAAGGACAGCAGCAATTGTGAGACTATTGAGAAACTAAGCAGTGTTTCCTTCTGTTTTAGATATCAGTCAGAAATGAGTCAGTGGCAACTAATAGCAATACCAGATGAGTGGTGAGTCTCCAAGACTGGACAGTGGTTATGACATATTACAATAAACACTAGAAAGGAAAACCTAGTCAGATAAAGAAATGAAGACTTGATAGGAATAGAAGTAAGATGTACGTGTGTGTGAGTGAAGAGAGAGAGAATAAGAGGCAGATAGGCATAAAAGTCCTATTTCCATTCTAAAACAAAAAAAATAGGATTCCAATGATTTCCCAGAAGCAAATGTTTAAAATATCAAAATATAACAAGTTTTAAAATAGTGAAGCAGCCATTACTTTTTGGTTGGAGATACCTAGTAGTTAATGTCAGCTCCTTCCTTTACTAGCTGTGTTGGAACTAAGATAGCTAGATAGATAGATAGACAGACAGATAGATTTTAAAATATTCCTTGGAGGCTAAGATAATGAATCTTCAGCTTACATACGTTGGTCATGTTGTTAGGAGAGGTTATACTTTGGTGAGTGGCATCATGCTTGGGAAGGTGGAGGGGAGATGAAAGAAAGGAGGACTCCCAGTCAGGTGGATTGACACAGCAACAGCAGCAATGGGCTTGAGTATGTCAGATACTGTGTTGTGCGGATGGTAAGGGACAGGACAGTGCTCAGATCTATTGTTCACAGGGTTACTTTAAGTCATACTTGATTCAACAGCACTGAACAACAACAATAACAAATTTGAAGCTCTCTTCATCTGAAGAACCTGGAGATTAAAACTACATACTTGAATTACTAGGGTAATTGAGTGATAGTCCACACATGTATGCCTAGTGCAGACCCTGCTACATGGAAAGCATTCCACAAATGACAGTAGAGATGGACAGATAGATACTCCAAGTCTTTTTGATTCATTGATTAGATGTACACCTTTGTTTACTAATTATGAGGTGTCTTTCAATGAATCAGAGTCATTCCAGGTAAAAGTCCTGAAAAACTCACCATGTGACATGAACATCAATCCTAATATTTGAATTCTGAGTAATGAATATCAAAGATAGCATTGATGAAACTCTCCAAGCATAAACTTTAGAAAAAGCAGTAAGAGTGGAATTTTGAGAACGTGTTTAATCTTATGTAATCTTGAGATAAAGCCAAAGGTGGAAATCAGTTCACACCTTCAGACTTTGTTCCCTAGGAGAGAGGAAGAGAAGAGTCAAATTAACATCTGCAGTAAATTAAATTTCTGCATACATGTTTGTCTCCCTTCCTTCCTTCCTTCCTTCCTTCCTTCCTTGTTCCTTTCCTTCCCTCCCTCCCTCCTTCATTCTTCCTTCTTTCTTCATTCTTTCCTTCCTTCCTTTTTTCTTTCTTTCCTTCTTTCCTTCCTTCCTTCCTTCCTTTCCCCCTCCCTTACTTCTTTCCTCCTCTCTTTATTCTTTCCTTTGTTCCTTTCTTCCTGCCTACCTGCCTTTTTCCTTCTTTCTTTTCATCCTATTTTCCTCCTCATCTCCTTTTAGCTAACTTCTTCCTCCTTTTCTCAGACTTTCTTCAACCCTTCCCTCACAGTTCACAGACCATACTGAGTTGCTGATAAAAAAATATCTTAGTAGCACAAAACATTAGCTAATGGTTACTTTGGAAGAAGTAGAATAATATAAAACTGATGCTTTGTTGAAAGTTATTACTTAATAAAATGAGTATTAGTGAGGTGCTGGTATAAATTTAGAAGCTAACTATGAAAACTATATTCCTAATGTCTCCAAACACCAAGGAGTATTGTCAATAAATTTTAGTTTATCTCCAGGGTCCAGAGCAACTGAATTATCAAGTGTTGAATTATTAGAATTGGGTTGGAAACCTTTCTATCTTGTTAGTGTGAAAAAGATTGTTAATGATGTATACTTTCTAAATGGTTTCAGAGAACGAATGTGGCTCCAGTTCCAATTAGAAGCACAGACATTCCTCCATTCAAATGTATAAAGTCTATGTCAGAAGAATAAGAAGAATAATCAGCACAGGAAACACAATCAGTTTTCTTTAAGTTAGAAATACTTTACCTTTACATCCCCAAACATTGCTGGTAAGTTATGTGTTTTTGTCCCCAAATCAAAGTGATAGAGAATATCTTCCTCCATAGAATCCAAGTGAGGATTTTTAACATGAACAAACTTTTTCCTGGAGGGAAAAAATTCAGAAAATGTAAAGAAATTTGAAACAAAAACACATAAAAAGGGAGAGTTTGCGATGGGAAAGTCTGCGGTAAGGGACCTCTCCAAAATACTCAAGACCAACAGTGTCTCTCTGGAGACTAAGGTCCGCCTGATACAGGCCATGGTTTTTGCAATCACTTGTTATGCATCAGAGAGTTGGACAATGACTAGGGAGGATAGAAGGAGAATTGACGCCTTTGAGCTGTGGTGCTGGAGAAAAGTATTGAATGTACCATGGACTGCCAAGAAAACAAACAGATTCATCGTAGAGAGGATTAAACCAGGCTGCTCCTTGGAGGCAAGGATTCTGGGGCTTCGTCTGACATACTTTGGACATGTTGTAAGGCGAGACAGGTCTTTAGAGAGGGACATCATGCTGGGTAGAGTGGAGGGACAGCGCAGGAGGGGAAGACCCTCTATGAGGTGGATTGATTCAGTGACTGGGGTACTCGGGATGGGTGTGTCAGAGGCAATGAGATTGGCACAGGGTAGAGCACGGTTTAGGGCTGTTGTACATGGGGTCGCTATGAGTTGCAAACGACTCGACGGCACATAACAACAACAACAATGTTAGTGTACACCTATAGTTGTCTCTAGTGCGGTACCGATCACCAGGAAATAATACTGGTCTCCAAGGATTAAATTACTTTTGTGATATAGCCACAGGAGCTTTGGTGGAGGAGTGCATAGCATTGGGTCGTTAACCAAAAGGTCATATGTTCTAATCCACTAGCAGCTCTAAGAGAGAAAGATGAGCAATCTTTTTCTATAAATATTTAAAACCTAAGGAAACCCAATGCAGACAGAAAGGGAGTGAGTGACGCAACAATTATAATAATAGCTAATATTTACAGTGCACATCCTATGTGCCACAGCATAGTACTAAGCATGAACATGGCATAATACCATGAGAACGACATATAAAAGATTACCTCATTTCATTCTGTAACCATTATATTACCAAAAATACTCTGCCATCAAGTAAATTTTAATTCATAGCAACCCTCCTTTGGGTTTCTGGGGCTGTGAATCTTTATGAGAGAAGACTACCCATCTTTACCCTAAAGAAGCCGCTCATAGATTCAAACTGTAACTTTAGATTAACAACCTGAAGTGCTTCACACCATGCCATGAAGGGGCCCTAACCATTCTGCTGATGTTGTTGATGTTGTTGTTAAGTGCCTTCAAGTTGAGTATGACTCATCATAGACTTACAAACAACAACAGATCTGAACCCTGTCCTGTCCTGTGCCATCCTTATTATCCCCAACACACCTGAGCCCATTGCCACAAACACTCCACCTTAAGTGTCTTACTCTCCCTTCGCTGACCCTCCACCATTCCAAGCATAATGTCCTTTTCCAAGAAATAGCCTCTCCTAAAAACATACCCAAAGTATGTGCTATGAAGCTTCACCATCCTTGCCTCCAAGGAGCACTCTGATTGCATTTTCTCCAAGACTTATCTGTTAGTTCTTTTGGCTGTCCATAGGATATCCAGCCTTCTTCTGTTAGGTAACTAATATTATCCTTTCCATTTACAAAAGAAGAAACTAAGGGTTATAGAAACTGAGAAACTTGTCTAAGAGTATGCAATTTATAAATTATAGAACAGTAATTTCTATCCTATTCTAGTTCTAAAAGCCCTTCTTCTTTGTGTGAGATCCTGGGGAATAGAAACCATTGGGCTCTGAACCAGACTGCTTGAGTTCCAGCAAGGCCAACTAAACATATACACATACACACTCTGGTTGTATGACCTTGATTAATTTATTTGACCATGTTATTTTCCCATTATCTCATTCATAAATTGTTGTTGTTGTTGTTGTTGTTGTTGTTGTTGTTATGTGCCACTGAGTCACTTGCGACTCATAGCAACCCTATGTACAACAGCCCTAAACTCTGCTCTATCATGTGCCAATCTCGTTGTCTTCAACACACTCATCCCGATTGCCCCAGTCACTGAACCAATCCATCTCCCAGAGGGCCTTCCCCTCCTGTGCCTGCCCTCCACCCTCCCAAGCACAATATCCCTCTCCAAGGACCGGTCCCTCCTTAGTCAACACGAGACTGAATGAGATGTTTGTAATATACCTGATGCTGAATAGACAGTATTAACATCTCCCTATAGATGGAACCTAGAGAAGTAGGATATGGCCCAAATTCCTTTATTTTGCCAAAGCTCAATTTCTTTTCCTCCTAGGCACAATGTCAGACTCCCTGACCCAGTTTCCCTTGCAGTGGTGAGGTCCTGTAATTGAATTCTGGATAATGGATTATGGGTTAAAAATGATCTATCTACTTTCATATCTGGTACCTGAAAAATAGTAACTCCATCAGCATTTGGAAGGCTGTGCAAAAAATACATCTTTATCGTACTAAGCTGCTTGCTTATGCTTTCCAATACTATTAGCATACCCTGACCAAGGCAGAGGATTCACTCTTGAAAATGATCTTTGTCCCATTAGAAGATTTAAGTGAGAACTAAGTGTAGCAGGGTAATGAGATGGAGCAAGGAGTTGAGAAGGAATCTGAAAGTGAAATACTAAATATGGGAATCTGAAATGAAAAGCTAGGTGTGAGTATAATGTTGTTGTCATCAGGAGTCTTGGAGTGTGGTACAACTCATAACAACAAATCTGAACCCGGTCCTAACCTGTGCCATCCTCATCATCTCTGCCACACATGACCTCATTGCTGTAATCACTATGTAAACCCATTTCATTGAGTGTCTTCCTATCTTTTACTGACCCTCCCACCTTTCCAAGCATGATGTTCCTTTCCAAAGAACAGCCTCCCCTAGCAACATGACTAAAGTATGTAAGATGAAACTTCACCATGCCACTATTGTCAAGCAGGACTGACCTCGGGATTAGGAGGAAACTAAGAGAGGATCAACAATGTATACTGCATTGAAACAGATGAGAGAGAGAACTGTTTAGGAGGAATATAAAGATTTAGGTATTATTGTCATGACAAGAGCCCAGAATGAAAGTTGCATTCTGTGGACTGAGGAGGGGGGAATTGTGTAACAATGAAAAAATGTTTCTTTTACTTTTCAAAGAGAAAAGTGAACTGGGGTGTGGGGTGGACAGGGAGGAAAGTGTGCAACAATGAGTGAACAGAA